TCCAGGGAACCCACATGTCATTGTGGACCAGCAAACCAGACCTTTCCATCAAGTGTATGCCAACTGATTGGGCTGTAGGACAGAGCAGAAATTTCCCGCAGAATTCCCAAAGCTGTCATCTTTATGCACATCTATAGCCTGGTCTTTCTCCCAGGAAATCACTGGTGGGTTTGAACCACTTCCTTTTGGTAGCATCTGAGCCCTTAACCATGCACCGCCAGGGCCTACTTGGCGCTTGTATAAACTCCGAAACCGAACACACTCTCCTCTAGTCGATAGTCTCATAGCAGCAGGCCATCCTACAGGACAGGGTAGAACTGTTCCTCAGGGTTTGGAAGACTAAACCTTTGGAGGAGTAGAATGCCTCGCCTCCCCCCCCCACAGCAACCCAGTGTTTAACCCACTACACCACCAGGGCTCCTTTGTCCTCGTGAAAGCACCCCCCACAAACCAACCAACCCATGGCCATCAAGTTGATTCCAACTTGTAGTGACCGGCTCTAGGATTTCAGAGACTGTAAACCTTTACAGGACCAGACAGCCCCATCTTTATCCCACACAGCAGCTGTTGGGTTTGAACTGCCAACCTGTGGTTAGCAGTGTGGTGCTTATTCTCCAGTTTCACGAGGGCTCCTTTGTCCTCGTATAACCTTTCCAATTCCTTAATTTAGTGTTGTGTGTTGTCCAGTTGGTTCTGACTGATAGCAACCCTGAAGCAGGAGGTGGGTTTGAACCGCGTACTTTGTGGTTACAGTCCAATGCCACACCAAGACTAATACATTTTCCGCTTCTATAATTTTGTCATTTCAAGAATATTCTATTAATTCACAATAGCACAAAAATGGAGATAGCCTATCAAAGGGAGAATGGGTACGCAAACCGTGGGAGGTACATGCACAAAATCGATCATTACTCAACGCTGAAGAACGGTGATGATTCTGTAAACCACGTCATGACATGGATGAACCTGGAGGACGTTTCTGACTGAAATTGCTTACCAGCTGCAGGAGGGAAGGGAGAGCAATTCACTGCCTAGAGGGTAGACATATGTTAGCTTGGGGGACAGGGAAGGCAATATACAACAAGGAGGAGTTTGGGAGAAGAATGATGAAGGTGGGAAGGCACAAGGAACAGTATAAGAGTTAGAGGGACTAGAAGTGAATCTTGTCGTATACACAGCCCTGCTACAAAAGTAGTCTACAGGTAGATAACGTGGACTTATACGAGTGAGCGGGTGTGGGAGGCAGAGTGGGAGCATACCCCCAAATGTATATGTAAGCGTATTTGTAGCTGGGTAGGCTGCAAACATATCTATGACTGTGGTGTAGCAAATGGGCAAAATCACAAAACTTGTTAGGCGGCCTTGTGCCATCCTTACAATTGTCATTAAGTTTGAACCCATTGCTACTGACCCTGTGCCAGTCCATCTCACCGGGGGTCTTCCTCTTTTTCACTAACCTTCCACTTTACCAAGAATAGCATCCTTCTCCAGGGACTGGTCCCCCCTGATAATATGTTTGGAGTACGAGAGACGACATCTAGCCATCCTTTCGTCTAAGCAGCATTCTGGTTGTGTTTCTTCCAACACAGACTTATTTGTTGTTCTGGCAGTCCCTGGTGCTTTTCTGTCACAATGCAAATGCATTGATTCGTCTATGGTTTTTCCTTATTCGTTGTCCAACTTTCACATGCAGTTGAGGCGACTGAAGATACCAATCAAAACTGCTACCTTTGCTCTTGAACACTTGAACGAGGTCTTTTGCAGCAGATATGGCTAACTTAATACATCATTTGATTTCTTGACTGCTGCTTTCATGAGTGTTGGATGTGGAGCCAAGCAAAATGAAGTCCTTGCCAACTTCAATCTTTTCCCCTTTCATCACAGTGTTATTGATTGGTCCAGTTGTTAAGGTTTTTGTTATATTTACATTGAGGTGCAATCCATACTGAAGGCTGTGCTCTTTTGATGTGTATCAGTAAGTATTTAGTTCTGCTCATAGTGACCTTATGCCCAACAGAATGAAACACTGCTCGGTCCCGCGCCAACCTCAGAATCATTGCTGCGCTTGAAACCCATCGCTGGTGCCCCTTTGCCAGTCCATCTCGTTAGGGGTCTTCCTCTTTTTTGCTGACCCTCCACTTCATCAAGCATGATGTCCTTCTCCAGGGACTGGTCCCCCCTGACAGTATGTCCGAAGTTGAGAGACGAAGTTGGCCCATCCTGGTTGTACTTCTTCCAACACAGATCGGTTTGTTCTTATGTTACTTATCCATAGCAACCCTGCTTAGGGTTCCAAGGCTGTAATTCTTTTTTTATTTTTTTAAAGCTTTTTTTTGTGAATTAAGTGATAGTTTACAAGGCAGAACATCCGTTTTGCATTCAACCAATCATATTTTGTTTCATTGCAGTGATCACAATCCCTTCCATGCACCATTGGTTAACAGTATTTCCCTTTATTCCCTCTTGTTTTTTTGATGTATAGAAAACACACAGAAAATATATATTTTATTTAAATGACCAAAGGGCACATTTTGCAAGCCAGCCTCCTTCTGCCCACTAGCATACAAGACCGTAAGACCGTGAACCTCTATTGGAACAGACAGCCTCATGTTTCTCCCTCTGAGAGACTGGTGGTTTTGAACCACTGACCTTGTGGTTAGCAGTCCAGTGCTTATCCTATAGTACCACCAGGGCTCTGGTTTCTTGTCAGGCTAACTAAGAATTACCTGCACTGGTTCCCACTTAGTACAAATTCTTAAAAGAAGTCGTTAGATCTCAGCCAGAATCCGGAGCTGCCGGTATTGTCTTTTTGACCCGCAACTTGAACGAAAAATGAATTTATTATCCCACTTGCTCTACTTGTAGATTTCTGCAGATATTCTACCTAGGTGACCGCAGTGAAGACCTTTCCCTTCTTCCTTTCCAGTCTGATTTCTTTTATCCTTCTTCCTGTCTGATTGCACTGACAGGCACTTCTCGTCTGAGTGTGAGAGCTGGCATCCCTACCTTGTGTCTGAACATAGGGGGGCACCTGTGGTCTTTCACCACTGAGGTGAGGTTAGCTGAGGACTTTTATAGATGCCCTTCATCTCTTTGAGGAACTTTCTTCTACAGGAAGTCCCCAGACTCTGAACAGGACCCATCCCTAGTGCATCTTTCTTTACGTCTAAGTCTGTCTTTTTGTTGAATTGGCAGGTAAGTGAGAACAGGTGGGTACAGTTCTCTTTTAAAGGACCCTGGTGTGGCACTGTAGGGTAAACACTGAACTGCTATCCACGCTATCTGCTCAAACCCACCAACTGCTCTAGGAAACCCTATGCAGGATCGCTTGGAACTGGAAATGACTCGATAGCACTTAACAACCAGAAGTACAAGGGAAGGCTCAGAGTCACTTTCATGATTTGTAAGTCATGCACACAGCTAGGGAAGGAGCTTGTGATAAAGAAATTTTAAAAAATGCTTTACATTTAATAAGTCATACACTTGGTTTCATTTCAAGTATTACAGTCCCCTCGGTGTATAATAACAGTTTTCCGCTTCCTCCTCGGGGTTCCTATTTGCATTCCACCCACCTTTCCATTCCTTCTCACTTTGTTCTTAGGAAAATGCTGCCCTTTGATTCCATGGTGAGCATACCTTGGTAGTCTTGTTGTCCAGCCCCCACCTTTCCCTAAACCTAGCCACTGCTTGGCTGAAAATTGGGCCACGAAGGTGAGTTCCTTTCCAGACTTGAAGGGTCAGGGGTCATAGCCTCAGACTCACTTCTTTCTGACCAGTAGACCTGGTGTTTTATTATTGATATTATTAAAGACTTTTGCGGTTTGTTCCATCTTTTCACCCACTCTCTCCAGACTGTCTAATGTGATGGCTTTCAGAGCGGTTGGCATGGTAACCGGGCACCATCTAGTTCTTCTGGTCTCAGAGTCGTGGAGACTGATGGCCGCCTGGTCCCATTCCTCCACTGGACTGAGCCCACGCTTCTTCAGTTCTTATGTGATGGAGAATTCTTTCTTCAATCAAGTCAGAGTGAGGGCTAACCTCACATTAAAGGGCAAGCATGAATTGTCTGTAATTGGGAAGTATATTTGTAAGCTTGTATTCCTTTTTTTTTGTAATTTAATAAGACTTCTTGATTTTACAGTGTAATTTTCTACTGTGGGAAGCTAGAAGACAGCTAAGTACATTAACCTAAAAACAGCAGCAGTTCATTCACTGAGGTTTGAAATGTTAACCTTAACCATCCCCGCTTGGACCTTGGTATACATAGTTGGATTTGATGTCATTGTATTTAGGAACACTTTAGTTGGTGTTCATGGTGGAGATCAGTTTCTGTTGTTGTGAATTGCTGTCAAATCGATTCCCACGTTGTTGTTAAGCGTCATCAATGTTGGTTCTGACCACAGGACACTGTATAGGATTTCCAAAGAGCGGCTGGTGTGTTTGAACCGTCATCCACGCGGTTAATAGTCCAGCTGCTTATCCTACAGTGCCACACCAGGATTCCCACGCTGCTCTCCCTTTCATGTCATTCTCTCGCTGAGGCATTTGTGTAGTGATGTCCTCTGTCATTCTGGATGTCGGGAATGAATCATTCCTCCCTGCCTCTTTCCCCCTTCGTTATCAATCTAGGTACAAGGCATCACTTTCACTCACTTGGTTTCAAAGCTATAACCCCCCCACCCCCCCACCCCCCCGCTTTTGTTACTTTCTGTTCTGCTTACTTCTCTCCTTCCTGCCTCTAAAAGAGAATGCACAGAGTCATTTTATTATGTGGTTGTTGTTACCCTGGATGGGTTTCCGAGGTTGTAAATCTTCACGGGAGCAGAAAGCCGCATCTTTCTCCTGCGGAACAACTGATAGTTTTGAACTGCTGACCTTGTGGTTCACATCCCGATTTGTAACCACTATGCTACTTTGTAAAAATCTGTCTTTCTTTTTACAGTGGGATACATTAACTCAAACCCTAACACTGATTCGATACATATCTGTTTGTTTTCCAGGAGGGTTTGCCTTTGTATATGAAGCTCAGGATCTTGGAAGTGGTAAAGAGTATGCTTTAAAGGTAATCAAGGACTGTGTGCCTTAGGCCTGGTCTGCCGGGCTCTGGGAGCGGGGCGGCTGGACCTGGAGAGGTCCCTTCCGGGGAGCAGCCCTCTCCCACCTGGATGCCACTACCTCGTGGCTTTCCATCAATACAAGGAACTTACAACCCATGTGCGTGAAACATGCATGGCACAGCCTACCAAGTGTGTTGAAATCACCCTGGGGTACCCGGGCTGGATTCTGGGACATTCCAGAGGTTCCTCGGGCTTGGCGTGTGGAGTGGCAGAGCAGCCTCTGCTTTGACCGCGGTCCAGGCGAGTGGCCAAGCTAGGGCCACCTCTGTGCCTTTATTTTGGGCGTCCAGAGTTGAGCCCCGTGTTTCTCTCAGTGAGCACGCTCCCTGCCCTTGTCTGACTTGGGCCCAGTTAAACCCAACGGGTCTGTTTTGAAGGGTCCCTGTGAGCCAAAATCGACTCGGTTACAGCGGGTTCTTCTGGCCTCCTATCAGAACCTCACACAGCGCTGATATTTGGCGCTTCAGGAGACAGCATTGCGTCTGTTCTCTGGGACGAGCTCATCCGACTAGGCTTTGTGCCGAGTGGAAAAGTCAACCCCGTTTGATCTCTTTTGTGTGTCATTTCCTGCTCCAGAGGCTGTTGTCAAATGAAGAGGAGAAGAGTCGAGCCGTCATTCAGGAAGTCTGCTTTATGGTATCCTTCTGTGGAGGCGCCGCCTCGCCAGCCCGTCTTGAGTGACTTGCGGAAGCAACCTTTTCTTTTCCGGAACTTGTTTATAAAGTATGTCTAGTTAACAGAATTTTCCGCCCCTGTTCTTCACTTGGAGTCCTGGTGGGGTACTGCAGGATAGTGCACTGGATGGCAAAGTCGGTTTTAACCGCAAGGTTAGCGGTTCAAACCCACCAGCTACTCCTCGGAAACCCTAGACAGTGTCGCTATGAGTCAGAACCGATTTGACAACAACAGCCACATTGTTCACTATCCCCGGGGTCACACGAGGGCTCACCACTCAGGGAGTGGAAGTATTGTTCTGATGGTCGATTGGGATGTGGGCCACATCCCCCCAGGGATAAGCCTCCCAGGCCCCTGCGCTTGCTCCTGGTCAGCAACTGAGAGCCCTCCGCCACAGCCCCCCAGGGCTACAATGGTCCTCGGGACTGACATGCTATGCCATCCATTCTGCTCCTACGAGACCCTTTCACCCTGCCCAGTGATCCTGGGACTGAGGTGTGACCAGGCACGGCTGATGGGTCCCTGCTTGGGCCTCGCTTGCTGGTCTCCAGTTTTTCGTTGGTTAAAAGGTGGTCCTTCTCCTCTCTCCAAACATGGCCCTCTTGGGGCCCCTGCTGACCACTAGGGTGGGGACACAGTGTCCTGTCGACACCAGCCTGTCAGTGTGTCCCCATGGCCACTCTGCACAGCCTCCTTGCAGCCTTCACTGCTTTCTCAGCCCTCTGTGGGTCCTGTGGCCACAGATCTGTCATGCCTGGGATGAGGGGGGTTGTCCAGAGCCATGCCATCAGCATATCACCCAGGCCCTGTCCTCATACTCTCCCCGGCCTCCCCCTGCCTCTGTTTGTCCTGCCAGTGACTGGGTAGACCCTGGGGTCCCTTTCACCCAGACAGGGGGTGCCCTGGCCCCCCAACCTCCCGCTGCCTCTGTGAGGCTCGCCCCCTGCCTTCTCCCTCACCTTTATGCTCTGGTTGCTAAACTCATGAGGAAGCTGTGTTCACGGTGATAACCTTAGCGTCTCAGCGCGTATGATGGGCTTCACACGTTTGTGGTTTCACGGGGAGACTTACGAGCACATGTGCGCCTGTTTTTCCTTTAACCAAATACCTTCAGAAAAAGCTGTCTGGCCACCCCAACATTGTCCAGTTTTGCTCTGCAGCATCCATCGGGAAAGAGGAGTCGGACACAGGGCAGGCTGAGTTCCTGCTGCTGACAGAGCTCTGTAAAGGTAAGCTTCCTGTCTCACCTGAAGGACGGCATTGAAACTGTCCGCACGCTTCTAGAGTATAGGCAGCATTTCCGTGCGTCTCCTCTCAAACGGACATCCCTGGGTGGTGCCAGGGTTGCCATCGACTGCTAAAGTGAAGGTTGGGGGTCAAACCTAACCAGCCATGTCTCACAAGAAAAGCCTGGTGACCTGCTTGTAAAGGATGACTGTTAAGAAAACCCTTCTCTGTCTCATGGGAGCTCTGTGATTCTGAATCCACTCACCACTAGTGTATTCGCTTTTGGTTTCTTCCAAACATACTGTTGTTAAGTGCTGTTGAACTGGTTCCAACTCCTAGTGACCCTGCATAGGCATTTCCCAGACTCTGCTTTATTGACTACGCAGAGGCTTTCGATTGTGTGGATCATGACAAGCTATGGACAACATTGCAAAGTATGAGTATTCCGGAACACTTAATTGTGCTCACGAGGAATCTGTACCTGGACCAAGAAGGCAGTTGTTCGAATAGAACCTGGGAACACTGAATGGATTAAAATTTAAAAAGGTGTGTGACAGGGCTGTATTCTTTCACTATATTTATTCAACCTGTATGCTGAGCAAATAATCTGAGAAGCTGCATTCTATGAAGAAAAACGTGGCATCAGGATTGAAGGAAGACTCATTAATAACCTG